TACTTGTTTTTCAGGATTTTTCATGCCAACCACTTAATATTATGAGTGACAACCAGTATGTGGTTCATTTACTTACTCGTATTCAAACTGGCAAAATCAAACATGTATCTAATGAAGAATTATTAACTCTGTTTTACTTTACAAAAGGCAGTACGGATTCACACAATGGAATACTATGCAACGCTAAAGAATAATGTAGAATCTGCAAAACACCGCATAACGTGGATGAACTTGGAGGACATTATGCTGAGCGAAATAAGTCAGTCACAAAAGGACAAATATTGTATTAGTCCGTTATTGTGAAAGTTAAGGAAAGGTTTATATATTGGAGGACATTTTCTTTGTTGGTTACCAGGGGTGGGAGGGAAGGAGAGGGAATGCTGTTAGATAGATAGAGGTAAATATTGATTTGGGTGAAGAGAAGGGCAATGTACCAAATGTGAGTGACCAATATGGCAGCATTGAGGATGAGAAAGACAGAGAGAGTTACATGGGCAGTACAAACAACAAATATGAACCCCTTTGTAAATACAATACTGAGTTGTCAATGAAAGCAAACATGGGTATAGGGACGGATAGATGGGTGAACAAGCTAAACAATTATGTATGTCTAAATGGAGAGTGTATCCAAGATCATATACAGGGTTGGCAGACAATGGGCCTCTCGAAGAGTATGAAGGGATGGACACTGGGAGGAGGTAACTATGGGGAGGAAGTGGGAGGGGAGCTGCTGCATTGTAAATTTTGGTCAATGACATAAGACAAAGTATATGTGAACTGCTGTATGGAAAGTGAATTTACTCTGTAAATCTTCACCCAAATCCTAATAAAAAAAAAAAAAGAAATCAGATGTCATATTGCACTGGGCAAATCTATTGCAAAAGACCTCTTTGAAGTGTTGAGGAGCAAAGACATCAGTTTGAAGACTAATAAGGTGTGCCTAACCCAAGCCGTGGTATTTTCAATCGTCTCATATGTATGTGAAAGCTGGACAATGAATAAGGAAGACCAAAGAAGAGTTGATGCCTCTGGATTGTGGTGTTGGTAAAGAATACTAAAAATATCATGAAATGCTAGAGAACAAACAAATCTATCCTAGAAGAAATGCAGCTGGAATGCTCCTTGGAAGTGAGAATGGCTTTGGTCATGTTGTCAGAAGGGACTATTCCCTGGAGAAGTATATCATGGTTGGTAAAGTAGAGGGTCAGCAAAAAAGGGGAAGACCCTCAATGAGATGGACAGACACAGTAGCTGCAAAGACAAGCTTAAGCATAGCAAGGATTGTGAGAATGATGCAAGACCAGGCAGTGTTTTGTTCTGTTTTACACAGGATTGATGTGAGTCAGAACCCACTCAGCAGCACCTAAAAACAACAACAGGATGGCTAAGATAGAAAAAAACAGAAATGGAACGAGTGTTAGAGAGGATGTGAAGAAATTGGAACCCTCATCCATTGCTAGGGGGAATGCAAAATGGTACAGCTGTTGTGGAAAATAGTCTGGTTGTTCCTAAAAAAACTAGAGGTAGAGCTGTCATATGACCCAGCAATTCCACTCCTAGGGTATATATCCTAGGGATCTAATAGAAGTGGCATGAACAGACATATGCACGTCTATTCACAATAGCAAAGAGATGGAAACAAACTAAGTGCCTATCAACAGATAAATGGGTAAGTAAAATGTAATACATATATACAATGGAGTATTACTCAGCAATAAATAAAAATGAGTTTCTGAAACATCTCAGAACATGGATGAACCTGGAGAACATTATGCTGAATAATTCAATCACACATACACACAAAATACATATATTCAACTCACAGCTACCCCCACTGGGTTTCCAAGATGGTAACATATAGATATAGATAGACACGTTTATATGTATATATACATATATACATACACATGCATATATATGTTTATTAGTGGTTACCAGCGATGGAGGGAGGAGGGAACTCATTCTCCAGATAGTAGATACTCTTTATTTTTGGTGATGGGAATGGCAACACCAAATGAGGGTTGAAGTATACATAGCTTGGTCAAGATGAACTATGTCACTTAAAATGCATACAGAAGGAACTGTTGGTAAATGCTGTTGTTGTTAGGTGCTGTCAAATTGGTTCTGATTCATAGTGATCCTATGTACAACAGAACGTAACACTGCTAGGTCCTGTGCCATCCTCACAATCCCCTCACTGCGGCCACTGTGTCAATCCATCTCATTAAGGGTCTTCTTCTCTTTCGTTGACCCCCTACTTTACCAAGCATGATGTACCTCTCCCGGGACTGGTCCCTTCTGATGACACGTCCAAAGTACATAAGATAAAGTTTCGCCATCGTCCCTTCTAAGGAGCATTCTGGCTGTGTTTCTTCCAAAACAGATTTGTTCTTTCTTCTGGCAGTCTGTGGTATATTCAATATTCTTCACCAACACCATAATTTTGGTGATTATATATGCCATATATAGTTTTGAAACCACCAAAAAATATATGTACAGGTACATAACGTAAGGCATTTGACTGCTAACCAGAAGGCTGGAGGTTCAAACCTACCAGCCACTCCTCTACTTTCTTAGAGACACTGCCTTAGAAACCCCTCCTGGGCAGTGAGTTATATGTATGTATGTAGGCGTATATATGTATAGGAATGTATACATGAACATATACATGTATATACATAGGTGTATGCATTAAAAAACAAACAAACAAACTCACTGCTGTCGAGTCAGCTCCGAATCATAGCGACCCCTCCTTGGGTTTCTGAGGCAGTATCACTACAGAAGTAGATTGTCCAGCCTTCCTTCCAAGGAGTGGCTGGTGGGTTTGAACTGTTAGCCTTCTGGTTAACGATCAAATGCCTCAGGCACTACACCACCCACCAAAGCTCCCTGGTGTATGCATATGTATATGCATCTATGTGATTATGAACATATATCCATATATCAGTATTATATATATATATATATATATCATAAAACACATAGGTGATACAGTTACAGATACTTCTTAGATATAACCAAATACCTCATGAGACTGGGTTTGAAGGATTAAGGCCAGAGTCCCATGTAACAGCTAGGTCAACTGGCATAATATAGTTAATAAAGTTATGTTCTACATTCTACTTTTGTGAGTAGTATCTACGGTCTTAAAAGCTTGCAAACAGCCATTTAAGATACAACTATTGGTCTTTACTAATCCAAAGCAAAAGAGAAAGAAGGAAACCAAAGACTCAAAGAATAAATTAGTCTACAGGACAAACAGTCTACATGAATCGTGACCTCATCTACCCTAAAACCAGAAGAACTAACTAGTGCCCAGCTGCCACTACTGACTGTTCTAATCAGGTCCACAATATATAGACTCTGACAGACTGGGAGAAGACTGTGGAAAAGATCCTCAAATTCCTAAATTAAAAAAAAAAAAAAAACAGGCTTACTGAACTGGTTGAGACTGAAAGACTCCCTAAGACTACTGCCCTGAAAAATCCTCAAACCTCAAACCAAAACTAACCTGAGGTCTCCCTGCAGCTAACCAACAGATTGGTTCACAAAATAATGAGTATCACCTATAATACTGTGCTCCTTTACAAAAATATCATCTATATGAGAATACACAGTCAATAATTACTTTAAAACTAAGATGAGAATGTAAGGGGGCAGGAAAACCAGATTAAGGGAAACAGAACAACCAGAACAAAAATAATGAGAATCTTCACACATTGTGAATAATATAACTAATGTCACTGAACAATTTCTGTATAAATTGTTGAATTGGAACCTAAACTGCTGTGTAAACCTTCAATGAAAAACACAATAAAATATTTTTTAAAAAAACACTCTCTATTTGAGAACACAAGCCAGGTAAAATTTAAGTTGCTCTCATTCAAAACTCCTTTGTTTTGTCAACCTTAATCTAAACACATTTCTACATTCTCCTTATATTCCTAGAAATGTATGAGTAAGGCAAAAAACAAAAAAAGTTCTGGTAATGTAGTAGTAAGGTATTTGGCAGCTAACCAGAAGGTTGATGGCTCAAACCCACTAGCTGCTCATCAGGAGAAAGATGAGGCAATCTACTTCCGTAAAGATTTACAGCTTTGAAACCCAATGGGGGCTGCTAGGAGTCAGAATCAACTCAACAGCACTGGGTTTTTTGGGGGTTTTTTTTTGAGGCAAAAAAGATAAAGAACAAAAAAATCTTTAAATACTGTTCTAGCTATGGACTTATATATTTTTTTGTTTCCCACAGGAAATATGTTTAATATAAATCTTTATAAATAAATAAATGAACATAAACTTTGACAAATAAAAGAAAACTGTATTAATCACCTTCTAGGTTCCTTCCCTCAAAGTTCTGTTCCGTGAGCATAGGTGTGTGCATGTTTGCACCTGGAGAGGTTACAGAAGCCCGTGTTTTCAATGAGTATCACAAGAGATTCTTATGATTAGTTATGACTGGGATGCACTGCTCCCTCAAGCATGGTTTGTGGGCCAGTGGCACTGGCTTCACCCAGGAGCTTGTTATAAACGCAACATCTCAAGGCCCAACCCAGACCTCCTAAATCAGAACCCACATTTTAACACAATCTTCATATGATCTCTATCTATGCATATTAAAGTTGGAAAATAACTGGATGACAATTTTTGCACTGTTGTTCCATTTTGTAAATCATTCTCAAGCATTACAAAGTTGGCACTTAAATTACTAGTGATTACTGGTTGTTGTTTTTATGTGCTGTCAAGTCAAACCCGACTCACCGCAACCCCTCCTTGGGTTTCCGAGGCAGCATCACTACGGAAGTAGGATTGCCCAACCTTCCTTCTGAGGAGTGGCTGGTGGGTTTGAACTGCCAGCCGTCTGGTTAGCAGGCAAGTGTCTTAGCCACTATGCTACCAGAGCTCCAGTATTTCTACCTTGGTTAGCAAAGAAAAATAAATAAAAACTTATATATTAATTAAAACACATACTAAGATATTATAGTGAGCTAATATGATCTTACCTGATGAGATCTTCTCTATCTTGGAAGATTTTGGTTTTCCGATTGATGGTGTAACTAGGAAATTCCATTCGGCCAAGGTTGACCAGTAGTACAGTAGAAAGTTGTCCCTGTCCACCACATGCAGCTTCTTCATCTTCCATTGTGTCAGTCAATGAAAATAGTAGCAAGATCCGAGAAAACACAGCCCTGGGGCCTTTACTGACTCTTAGGGATTGGCCAGCCAAGTCTTTAGCTCTGTAAAATGTAGAATGTAAAAAATATTTTTAGGCATTTGACGGTTAGATTTCACCAATTATTTTCAGCTAAATGAAAGATAAATGGCACTCATTATTCTAAGCCCAAAGCAGCAGAGTGTAGTAGTCTTTTTGGAGTTGGAATTCTAAATTTACCACTTCTAACTGTGTGATCCTTGAGCATTACGTACTCTCTCTGGGGACACATTGAAGTTTAGATGAAATAATGTCTCCCAACAATTTCACATATGGTTTGGCTCTATAAAAGTGTTCCCTCCCTAGACGCAGAGTAGGATAGGGCTTACCTTGGGCATGAACATTTTAAAATACTAGGAAAACTGCCATAAAATTATCACTTATTCAACATTAAACCAAAAAAACCAAACCCACTGACATCGAGTCGATTCCAACTCATAGCAACCCCCACTAGGTTTCCAAGGCAGTAAATCTTTATGGAAGTAGACTGCCCTGTCTTCCTTCCACAGAGTGGCTGGTGGGTTTGAACTGCCAACCTTCTGGTTAGCAGTCAAATACCTTAGGCACTGTGTCACCAGAGCTCCTTATTCAACATTAGCAATTCTCAATTCTTAATTCAAGTCACTATTTAGATTATGGTCGCGTAGTGCTTAAGGCACTTGACTGCTAACCAGAAGGCCGGCAGTTCAAACCCACCAGCCACTCCTCAGAAGAAAGGTTAGGCAATCCACTCCCGTGATGATACTGGCTCGGAAACCCAAGGAGGGGTCACTATGAGTCAGGATCGACCCCACGGCAGTGAGTTTGGTTTCTTTGGTTTATTTAGACTAAATAACAGATATTTATTTCAAATGTCCTTATCAAACGCTCTTGGCAAGGTGTGGCATTTTTATACCAGGAGGTAGTCCAAATCTACACCAAGGTTTGGTGGTACTCTCTGATATGCAAAGCAGCCCACGAGCATATCCATTCTAGAGTAACCTTAAAGGGAATTAGGTCTGGATATTTGCCACGTGAGGCTGGAGGTCTGAGTTAAATCCACAGCCACATGGGCCCTTGGGACTCCAGCAATTTAAGTACCATCTATAGCCAAGTTTCTCATCTTTAGCACTGTTGACATCTGGAACCAGATCATTCTTTGTTTTAGGACCTGCCCTACACATTGCAGTATGTTTAGCAGTATCCCTGGTCCACTAGATCCCAGTAGCACATCCTATTTTCCTCAGTTGTGACAACCAAGAATGTCTGCCAGATGCTCCCAGAGGGGCAAAATCAACCCTGGTTGAGAACCACTGGCTTAATGGAGATCCCACATCCTCCCATCCCAGAAACTAGTGAACCAAAAGCAGTACTGCATCCCTAGGGGTGTGGCAGAGATCAGTGCCACCATCAAAGTTATGAGAGGGGCAGGGGTGATGATTCCTACATTCCCATTTAATTGAGAACCACTGAGCTGCAGGGACAGCCAAAAAGCTGCCCACTTCTTCTATTTCCAGGCAATGCCCCAGTGGATTAAGCCTCCAAATGGCAGAAGGAAGAATGAAACATGGGAAACTGAGCAGTGACTATAACTAGGATTAAGAAAGTATAAATAATATGCCTTTTTCTGTTTCCTTATGATTAAGAGCAGAGTAGACAAACCAGGTACTGCCCTGATGTGGAGCTGTTAAAGAATCTGAAATTCCACTGTTGGGGCCTACAATAAAATGAAGAAATTAAGTAAAGTACAATCTTAAAGGATAGTAATTTTATGTACAACTGAAATAGCCTTAAAACTTTACTTTCCTACAAGTCCAAAATCAGTAATAAAATTAATCTTATTTCTTTCATTATATATATTTATGCTAAGTGCTCATAGTAAGGGAAGGCTACTAATTTTAATGTTTATGTGCCTATAAAGATGTTACATTTGAGATTAATAAAATAGTAGAAAACAGAACTAGATAAAGAATGGGCTTCAAAAAACCCAAACTCACTGCCAGCAAGTCTATATCAATAGTGATCCCCTTTGGGTTTCCAAGGCAGTAAATCTTTATGGAAGTAGATTCCCCAATCTTCCTTCTGCAGAGTGGCTGGTGGGTTTGAACTGCCAACCTTCTGGTTAGCAGTTACATGCCTTAGGCACTATGCCACCAGAGCTCCTTAAAATAGGCTTAGAAGACATTTAACATAGGTCAAAGAAGAGATTTTCTACTTCTAGGGTCAATTAACTATAAATATGTATTTTTTTTTTAATTCAAATCTATAGTATAAACTTTTTGGAAGTGCTGGTACTAATATTTTCTTAATAAAGTAACCCTATTATATCTACATCTGTTAAAGATTATACTTACACCATCTTCCCAAGAAGAGTGAGTTCAATTCAATTGTTACAAGCATATGTATAAAATAAATAACATTGACAATATTTTTCAAGTATTTTGAAAAGCATCATTTCATTTCATTCTCAATTATTTCAAAATAGTCGATTTCCACACTGAAGTGATAAAGTTTTACTTTACAGAAAACACAGGCAGAAGAAATAAAAATTTCTCAGTGCTATTATCATATTCCCCAAAATGAAACAGTTCAAGGGCTTAAGGATAAATTAAACCACCCACAGGTTTTGGCAATCTTTTTGTTTTAATCCAAGAAAAGCTGCATATTAAGACTGAACTGATTATGCTTTAACAGAAAGTTTACTAAAATAAAAATTTGACTGGATACTAAAATCCTGTAAAAATGGTAGTTAAAACCCTATTTTTCTTGAATAATAAAATACAAGAATTTACCACACACCTATTACCTTTGCTATTGACTATTGATTTTTTTTGGTTCTGGAAATTAGTATAAATCAAAAGAAATTAGTATAGTACTACAACAAGCCTTACAAATAATAAACCAAGAAAGAGTTCAGGCTATTGTAATTAAGGCTCCTTTAGCCTTTTACTGTAATTGTAATTGAAACAAGCACTTCCAATTAGAAAAAGCACAATCTATTACAATAAGTTAACATGTGCTGTTAAGATTTTAAATGTTTCTACTGTAACAACAGTCAATAAAACCTTTTTAAAATTACTGCTCCAATTCCAGGGTGATTCTTGTCCCAGGTGAAGACTGAACGCTGTTTGGCCAATTTGAGAAAGGAATCCACCAACTGCTGCTTCTGCCCATTGGGATTCACCAAGTGGAAGATCTTTGCCAGGGTTTTTAGTTCAGGAGCAGAAAGTAGCTCAAGCACCTCAGAGAGTTCTTGCAATTCAGATTCTCAAATGGTTTAAAAAAAAAATAGTTAAAAATCGTTTTTAAGAATCTTACTATTCTCTAGCTTCATTTACTTTAGATGCAAATAAAATGAAATTCTACTGTAGAAATATTAGCTTGCCAGACCAATTATGAAAGAATGTGTAAAATAAATATCTTTTCAGAGTCATAAAACAACAGTTTCCCATTAAAATGTAAAGAAAAAATATGAATAAATCAAGATACACATGGATAGCCATTACGGTTTGGATATCCTCCTTTAAAGCCTACTGGAATATATATTGGAATCCCTATGTGGCACAAGTGATTAACGTTCCCTCAGCTGTTAACAGAAAGGAGAGAGGTTCATGTCTACCCAAAGGTGCCTTGGAAGAGAGACCTGGCAATCTACTTCTAAAAAAAATCAGCCATTGGAATCACTATGGAGCACAGTTCTACTCTGACACGCATGTGGTCACCATGAGTCAAAATCAACTAGACAACTAGTTTCTTTCTAATTATAAAACCTCCTACTAGACCTCTCCAAACAGGTCACAGAGTACATTCACCATCAGCTCCCCTCTCTCCCACAGGTTCCTCCCTATTCAAGTGCTGCATACTGGGAACCCTTTCTCTCTGGACCTGTTCATGGGTTCATTCATTCAACATAAGTGATTATTAAGTAACCCAGACAACATGCTAGTCCCAAAGTCAGCAGAGAATCACACCTGGTTGGTCTTTACTTTCAAAGTATTCACAGGTTAGGGAAATGTCTTCTTCTTTCATGCCTTCATTCCACAAATACTTGAGTGTGTACTGTGTGGTAGTAATACTGTAAGGTCCTGGGCACACTAATCAACAAAATTAAGTCCTTGCCTGTAAGAAGCTTACATTTAGTGTAATAAATAAATCTGTATGTCAGGTGATGTTGCTACTATAAACAAAACTTGGTAAGGCAAACTAAACATGGCAGGGAGGTTAGCTCTAGGTCATACATGGTAAGTAAAAGGTGACAGGAGAAATGTGAATGAAATGAGGGGATCAACCACATGGGAGACTGTCCCAGGCGGAGGGGACATCAAGCACAAAACTTTCAAAACGTGATATGCTCAGCATGCAGAAGAGTAGATAAGGGACCAGAGTGAGCAAGAGAGGCAGGAGAGATGAGGTCAGAGAAACAGTCAGGGCAGCACCTCCCTAAGCTATCACATCTAAGCTCCTTTACCAAGCTTCCAGGCCTCTACCCAAACCTTTGTCATCTCTACCCCATGTAGCCCCATCACGATCACCCTGACTTCACCTTTACCTACTACTTCCAATAACAAATTCTGCCTCATAGAAACAATCTGGTTTGATCTGCTTATTTCTCTCTAAAATGTTAGCACCTTCAGCCCAAGGCTCACATCTTTCATTCTTTCTTATACCTAACAAGTTTCCAGGGCAAAACCACACTCAATACACAGGCAAGTACATAATGAATGCTGACAACAAAGGTTGTATCTTTGAGAATAAGATAAACTCTCCTTTAGTGTTAGACTATGCATAAATCAATTAAACAGTTCTTAAAGCAATTCACTCATGAACTCTAACATCTATATGAACGTGCATGTAGGGGTAAATAAAGTTTGTAGAGGCAATACTAATTTCAAATAAACCAGTTTTACTCTATCACAGAAGAATTTGAAAGGGATTCAAATTCTTGCTGGAAGGAGAGATGAGGCAGGATGATTTTAAAAGTCTTACATATCACTTCTGACCACTGATACAATTAAGTCAAGAAAAATAGTGAAGAATATTAACTTTCTTCTGAGGGACATGTCTACATATGTATCCTTAGGTAATTTTATCTCCCTAAACCTGTGACAGTCAAGAAAATAACAGCAGAGAATCTTTCATTATTCCAGTATTCTTAACCCAGGCTGTGAATGTTCTTAGCATCATATGAACAAGTCATTGTCCCAAAAAGAGTCATTTTAAAAGCAAATAAAAACCAATTAGTTATTCACCAGGCACCAACCAGGAGACAGCACCATAGTATACTAATATAACCATTATTCTGTATAAACTTAATTCTTCACATAGTATTTTGTGTTTCCTTCTACTAACCATACCTGTCTGTAGAAAGCCTGCTTCCTTCAATTCTTTAATTACAGGTGTTAAATCTGAGGCAATCTCTTCATATTCTAATTTGCTCATTTTAATCCAGTTAAATTTACGTTGAAAAAGTCGTACATATAACTTCTGACTATTAGCTGCAATAAAGGCAAGAAACCAGTGAAAAATATTAACTTCCTTCTCAAACACAATATACAAATAACATTTGCTTTTTAAAACTAAAAGGAAAGTAAAATATACTCTATTAGTACAGAATAGTGAACTGATCTTCCAAGAAAATCTTTTTTTTTCTTTAGAAGATAGAATTTATTTCAAACAGAAAGTCCTGTGGGGACATCCCCATGCCCTATGTACCATTACCACAGGATGGGATGAGCATACAAGATGAGAAGCTCTGGGCTAGCTCTGCTGCTTCTGAGTTGTGTGCAAGTCACTGACCCTCATGGTGTCTCCTCTATTAAAAAGGGTGGGGGCAATAACACCATCTCCCCAAAGTTGGTAGAAAGATTAAGTAAGACAAAATAGTTGATATAAGCCATTGTGAAAAAATTTAATGTTGGTAATGACTACTGGCCATTTCAGAACTTTTAAAAACCAAGTTCCTTCCCTTCTTGCCATCAATATTTCTCTTCCTTTAAAGAAGCCCTCCCCAGAATTCTAGTTATTTTGCTCTCTGCTTTTAGTTTAATATGCATTATTCTGGGAGCTCTGGTAGCATAGTGCCTAAGGTACTTGACTGCTAACCAGAAGGCTGGTGGTTCAAACCCACCAGCCACTCCTCGGAAGGAAGATAGGGCAATCTACTTCCGTAGTGATACTGCCTCGGAAACCCAAGGAGGGGTTGCTATGAGTAGGGTCCGACTCAATGGCAAATAACAACAACAACAACATGCATTATACGATTTTTGGTTGACAACAAAAAAAACTTGAATAATCAAAAACCTATCTAGCTTTGAGATGGCAACAATCTCTCTCTAGCTTGATGATCTTGGTCAAACTACTAAGTTACTCAATCAGTTTCCCTGTACTGGATTATCTTCAAATTTCTTCCAACTCTAAAATGGCATGTTTTAAAATTTCAACACTGATTTTCCTTTTTTTTGTTTTTTTAAAGAGGCAAAATCAATTAGCAGTAGTTATTTTCACATGCAGACATATCATAAACAATTCTCCTTAGAGACCAGTACATAAGAATAAGTGGAACTTGTGGTCAGAAAACTGCTTCTGTTTCTCAATGGTACTGAAGACCAGAGTCGCCAACCTTTCAAATAAACACTCATATTAATGCAATCAGTACCCAACCAAGATCTCTAACTACTATGGATGGAAGAAGCAACATGCTATCTCAAGTCCATCCCCTGGTGAGAACTGCACAACTAGAGATGGAAGCAGTGTGGGTTCCTTATGAAACTGTGCCCAGAAAAACCGAACTCACTGCCATCAAGTTGATTCAACTCATAGCAACCCCTCCTTGGGTTTCTGAGGTTGTTATCTTTATGGAAGTAGATTGCCCAGTCTTCCTTTCAAGGAGTGGCTGGTGGGTCTGAACCACCAGCCTTCTGGTTAATAGTCAAATGCCTTAGGCAGTATGCCAAGAGAGCTCTCTAAACTGTGCCCAGAGAGGAATTTTTCATGTCAAAAAGGTATGCTACAATCATCCCTCTGTGTGAATTTTAAAACAAATATACTTTTCTTAAACATAGTAATGTTGCAGAATTAATATTTTTTTTTAATCTACTGTGGTGTCTGACATAGTTACATATTACCAGAGGACAGTGTGACCCCCCACGTAAGCTTTTCCTTTTAGAGGAATCATTTCCATGCAGCCATCAAGGCCTGTTACATTAGTGGGGCAGCATCACAGGGCACCTTTTGCTCTAAACCTGCACTATTAGGTTGCAGCTACCACAGGCTGTGAAGACTAGAGGCACAGACTAATATTTTTAAATGTACCAATTTAACTTGAAAGTTTCCATTTCATCCACACCCTGCCCTTAAAAGGCAGAGTCTAGGAACCTAAACTGTTAAGGTAACAAAAGAAAAGTGTGCCACAAGTTGGTTTATTTTTTCCTGTAATTTTTTTTTTAATTTGTGAGGAAATGGTATATGAAAACTACAAAACCCTCATAATTACATGTGCAAATGCAAAGAATGCCTTTTTTTTTTTTTTTTTTTTGTCTACAAGAGGTTGTTTTACATCTATCAGGTAAGTGTATAAATGAAAAACTACTGTTTCCATTATAACCAAGGTAGTGTTTGTTGGGCATGATATTACAGGAATAAACATCACCAGCACAAAGTTTTCTCTAGTTGGCACACATATCCTTACAGATAAAAATCTTGTAGTAGGCTCTGATTCCCAAAACTGTAGTGTACTTGACTTTCGGTAAGATGGCAGAATAGGCAGACAAGCTACACAGACTGTTTCAACAAAGAAAAGAGAAACCAATTGACAGAGATACAGAAAATAATCCTGGAGCCCAGAGCTTTGAAAGGAAGCATACAGAAGTAGATTAGGCACAAACTAGTGGAAAAACCTGAAAGAAAACAGTGAGTATGGAGACAGATGGAGCTGTGGACTGTCAGCTACTCTGAGGGGACCAACAGGCTGAATATTTCCAAGTGGTGTTGGGACCTGACAATCGACCTAAAGATCAGCCCTGGTCACTAAGGGCTGCAGGGACGACTGCGCTGATGACTAGGAAGAGAAACAAAAAGGAGAGAGACAACCTGTGCTGTGTACTTTCAGTTGTCTGGAGGGTGCGGTCGTTTTGATTGTTTACATACAGTAGCCATTTTGGATATTTAAAGTGACCAAGGGTGCAGCTATTTTCAATGTTTACAAGCAGCGGTTGTTTTGGATATTTAATGTGACCAAAGGCAGAGCCATTTTGAATGTTTACAAGCAGTGGCCATTTTGGATATGCAGAGTGACAGCATTCTCATTCTGATTCCAGGGACTTAAGAATAGGCTCCGTGATGAGATTCAAAATGGAGTCTTTTCAGTCATCACCACGCTATTTCCCTCTAGCATCTTCGTGCTTGAAAAACTAGGTACAGCAGTTTGAGTTAGGGATTTTGGTGCTCTGAACAGCTCACTAAGTCAGAGTGCACCAAACTCAGAGGAGTAGAATTAGAAAGACAGGTACAGGGGAAAAAAAGTAAGACGATCTATCCTGCGGAGTACGGACAGGCAGCAGAGAAAGGCCATTAGAGACTTCCCTGGGGGAGCAACTGGCAGGCGAGAACAGCCATCCAAGACCTCCCTGGGTTAAGGCAGAAGACACACCATACCAGCATACCAGAGACCACACCAATATACCAGCGATCACCCCAAGGATCTACCTTCAGCACCTGATTTTATCAGTAACGTGGGTTGGCTAAGTGCAAATGGGCATGTCCAGCACCGCTGAAACCCAACCAGAGTTCACTGGTGCTCCAGGACAGGCCCGCCCCCCCCCCCCAGTGGGTCACTGAGTAGGCTTGGGTCAGCTTAGTGGCACTGAGAGGTCTGTGCTTGATTTTATCACTAATATTGGGACTACAGATTAGTAGCAGGCACTCTCCCAACTGCAGCACAGCTGAAACTGAGCAGATCTTTGGCACCATGGATGGGCGGACTCACAGAGGAACTCCCGAGTGGATCGCAGTCTGGGGGCTTAGGCCGGCGCCATGGGCAGGCAGGGTCAGAGAGAGAAACCCCCACAGTGGATCACAGAGCCAGGAAGTTGTCTTGAGTTGGCTTTTTGGCACCAAGGGGCCTTGGAAGAGGGGTTTTTGCGTGTGTCTGAGCCTGGTGGAAAGTGGCAGCAATGCCCTAACAACTGGAGTCTTTGCTGAAATTGAGTGGTGGGCCTATAAATAACTGTACAACACCATCGATGGCAGCCCGCTCAAAGGCCTAGAAACGACCCCTAGCAACAGCAAGCTTTCCTTCTTCCGCGCCCACCTTCTCTGCCAATAACTTCACTCATCCAATTAGAAGCAACCACATTCAGTCAACATAAAACCTCCATTCAAACTCTAAACCCTCTTTATGACAAACAGAAACCCATATCCACATTCCACACCATTACAAAGAAAATTGCAGAGCAACACAGCATACCTGAATCAATCACAAAAAATAAATAAATAAAATACACCAGCTCTATCTTTTCAAAATATTAAACCATAAACCAAGACAAAACAAATCAAACATAACTAACAGCTAAAGACAACCTCAAAATGTCTAGGAAACAACAGGCAACTTCAAATCAAATAAACGGACAAAAAAGACAAGCCATTAGAAGCAAAACCACAAACAAAGGTCTCATTATACATGGAGGAAGGAGGCAACAGAATTATCTGAGAAGAATTTAGAAGATATGTTTATAGCACTACACAAGAGCCTAAGGAAACCCCAAACAGAAATAAGAAGAACACAGACAGTTTCCTGGAAGAACTCAGGAAAATCATTCAAGAACAAAATAACAAGATTAATGCACAATCAGAACCCATATAAAAACAGTAGTTAGAAATCCAGAAGATGAAAACCAAAATGGCAGAATTATACAACACAGTAGAAGCACAAAAGACTAGTTTAGAACTGGCTGAAGAACACATATCTCAACAAGAAGAAAATTCCTAGACACTAGCCTGTTTGAAGAAAAATCAGAACAAAGATTTAAGAGAAATGAAGAGAACCTAAGAATTATATGCCATGACATGAGAAAAAACAACATAAGACTCACTGGAATTCCAGAACATGAAGAGGTTAAAAAAAAAAAAAGAAAATTGTGGAAGACATGCTAACAGAAAACTTCCCCCATATCATGAAAGAAGAAAAGATATTTGTCCAAGAAGCTCATAGAATCCCACACAAGATAGATCCCAAGAGAAAA